TGTGGTTTTGGAACAAAATACAGATAAGCTAGTTGAGCGTTCTCTCGTTTCGGCATCATTTTATCAAATTGCCATGCAAGAATATGCTTTTTCGAACGAAGATCATTGAGCAAATTGACTGCCTTGTCAAAAACTACGCATAGGGGATCATTTTCTAGTTCGATATAGGCCTTCGTTTTTTCTCGATAAGCTTCTGCTTTTTGTTCATAATCGTTGGCGTCACCAATATGGAATATGCCACTTTTATCCGTTACACGAAGAACTTGATTGCTTTTCTTTAAGCGGTATCGAATGGACTGTATAAGTTTTCTTTCTTGTCGAGCACGATGAGCATGAAGATAAGAGATTGGAGCCATGTACTCTTCACACAGATAAGTAGCCAATTGATGGGAGAATCGGCTGATAATTGTTGATGTTGGTGACATATGATAGACACGCACGAGATAAGGAACGATTACGTCAAGGGTTTTGTTAAATTCTCGATCGACTTGTTTCTGTTGTTGTTTGTCATGAGTGATTGTCGACGACGACGTTGTCGGATCAAATTTGTATGAAAACATGCTTCTCTGTGTCTTATTTGACGTAAAAGTCTATGCTTATAATTATTTAGATAGGATTCGACAGAGTACACTAAGATATCTATTTGATGTCTGAAGTCAGATGAAGTTGAATTTAGAATTTGCTGTTGAAGTTTATTGAATTCTTCTTGGTATAGCTGTTCATAATGATGGATGTCCTCTTCGTATCGCTGTAATTCTAAGTTTAATGTGAACCGTTTTAGCTCTTGTACCATTTTACAATGCTTTTTTGAAAGCTTTTTCGCATCAAGATTCGGCAGTATGGAGTCGAGAGATTCTGGTAGCCGATGGCATAAGATTTGTTGCTCAGGCATGGTTTGTTCTTCGAATACCTTCAATTGTTTCTTGCGAATAGTGGTCAATCGAGAAATTGCTTTAAACTAGGAACATCGAATCGATGATAAACAGAGGTTACGAGATGAAAATTACTTGATCATTATTTAAATAATAGTAAGATAAGTGTTGAAAGAGGTGTTTTTCATGAATTTCATCTTTGAGTTTATTGATTCGAAAACGAATCGTCCTCATTAAGTCAGTATGATGCAGACGAACAAATTCATGTAGTCGCGCATCGACGATTTCCAGTAAAGATAAAGTCAGTGGACACGATGATGATTGATTTTGTCTCGTAATAATATCAAGTACTCTTCGAGATACTTTTGGATGACACTGCGTTCTGTTGTTTGCGCAATCTTGAGGATATCGTCCTATGAAAGCGATGCGAACTGGTTATGATAATGAAACAGTATCATCAACACTTACAGGCTACATATGAAATTTAAGACCTTGATCAATCGAGATAGAACTGATGATCAAGTAGTTGGAGACGTTCTACAATGAAGTGTCGTTCTTTTTTCCGTTTCAGTGGATGCTTCAACTGTAGACGTAATGAATGTAGAAGTAGCTTCCGTGGCATCCTCAAATATTTTGATTGTTTGTATACAGTACAAGTATGGCTATTTGAACTACTGGTGTTGTCTTTACTGCTTAACGACCTACTATTATATCTCGCCTTCTTCTTCTTTGATAATGATAATTGACTGAGTGATTTCATTGAACTGCACACAAGATTTTGTTTAGATAAGTCTCTCTTCCGTTTATTTGACTGTTTTGGACGGCTCGTAGCTAGTTGAACACTTATAGATGGTTCGGATATTGTGTGATGTTTCGTTTGAATTAAACCCAGAATTTGCTCTTCAGTTAAACCACGGGCTCGACACTTGCGCTTGAAGTGTTGCCAGGGCCCACGATGTGGGAGGGGATGGGATCGGCTAGCCCCCTCCCCCACTTTTTGAGAGTGTCTGGAGAAAATTTTTGAGGGTGTGTCTGGGAAAATTTTGAATAGGTGTCTGCGAATTTTTTGTCTTGCAAGGTTTCTGACAAACATGAAGGATGTTTTGTCTTTGTTTTTCATTCAGATTTGTGAATCAGATACAGTATCTGGCAGGCAATATAGAATATCTCATTTCTACCCTTCAGATGAACTGTCTGAAAATTGACAGTGGAAAAATAAACTGTATTTAGCACCATCAGAGTATTTTAAACGTATTTCTGTGGAGCCTTTTTATATAATAAATTGACTGAATATCTAAGTAGACTCTTGCTCATAATTTAATTAACCTCAAAATAAAGGATAAACAGGCGGCGGTGGCTGACTATTCATATTGATATCGTTCAACTGTTTCCATATTTGTTCGTCACATTTGTTCATTACACTTTTCTTTTCCGCGCTATTCATGGCAACTATAACAGTTTCCACGGAAATAATTTGCCCAAATTGTGGTAAACGTATGATTAAAAAGAATTGGAAAGACCATGCTCGATGTAAACATGCAATGACGGAAGAAAATATTCAAACAAAATACGAACAATTAATACCATCGTCTTCTAATAAACCAATACCAATTGCCATGCATAATTTCTTTTCAACAAAAAAATTTGCTACAATGCCAGCTGTAGAAAAGCAAACCTTAGACGATAATTCTTGTACTACTGATACCATGCTTGTTGATCATGAAGATAATGATATGACTGCTTCTAAAAATTATTCAATGTCGAAAGGTATTGTTTATCATTTTTCTGATTTTGAAATACACTTTGATTTCGAATAGATTCTGACACATTATATCAAAATGAAGACTTGTCAACATTTGCAACTGATGAATGTAATGCAAATAAATCAAATGAGCATGAAACCATGAATAATCGTAAGTCATTATTAAATATAAAAATTACATTTCTCTTTACTATTTTACATGTAGAAAATGATGAAATGATTGTTGAAGATAATGATTGTTTACTGGAGTTGAATTTAAATATGGTAAGTAACACTGAACATCAAAATAGTCATTACCAATCACCAACATCATTAAAAACATCCGTTACAACAACTTCGAATTTATCTAAGTGTCATTGTATCAATTAAAGGGGTAAGATTTATTAATACTGATGAATTGGAGTTTTTAGATGCTAATCGTGCTAATTATCCAGATATCGAATGGAATCCACATCGTAGTTTATCCTCAACTAAACCAAGTCCAACATGGTTTTCAGATGATTACCCGTGGCTTCGCGCAATTTATTCAAACGGCTTTTATGGCTTGATATGCGCTGATTGTGTTGAATTTGCATCTAGTGAAGTTGCGATTAAGAAGAATAACGGTGCATTTGTAGTACGACCTTATTGGAAATTGAAACATAAAGGTCTCGAAGGTGAGTAATATCCACTTGTACCATTATAATTTTCTTCGCTTCTTGTTTTATAGGAATTAAAGAACATAAAAAAAGTGATCTTCATTGAACATCTATTGATCGACGAAATGCATCGAAAATTGTATCAGTGAAATGTTCGGTAGTTGGACAATTACACTGTGTTAATTTAGATACTCAAACAAGAAAATATCTTGCCATACTCGTTCAAACGCTTTGGAAGATTATCAGAGAAGAAATGGCATTAAGTAAGTTTAAACCATTGATAGAGTTTCTCCATCAAGTGCATTGTCCCGATATCGTTGATTGGTTTAAAATTTCAAATGTAAAAGAACGGTGAGTTTTAAATTGTTTTTAATAAAAGAATATTAACTTTTTTTTTCTAAAGATACTGGAGCTAGGAAGCTATAGGTGAGTGTCTGCAAAGCATTAATAAATATATTTATCATATTCAGATCTCTTCAATTAAAAAAGCTCGTTTTATCAATCTTATAATGGATGAAACTCGTGACATAACTGTCAAACAAATGTTTTGTCTATGCTTGCGTTATGTGGAAGATGATACCGGTCAAATTCATGAAGATACTTTTACGTTAAAGCAAATCAACGATACAAGCGGAAAAGGTAAGTAACTTTCTGGTATTATACTTACCGAATCTATTTGTCATACCATAATCTAGGAGTCTTTAAAGTTGCACAAGAATTCATCGATCAATTGCAAAAGGACACAGGTAAAGAATTGATTATCACCGCACAAACTTACGATGGAGCAGCGTCGATGCGCTTTCAAGCACAAGGACATGTACGCAGCCGGTTATCGGCATGGGGTATGTATATATATTGTCGATCTCATCTTTTGAATTTAAGCGTAGAAGATGCAATTGAAAATGCAATGTTTGATGCTTATGATACAGTCCATTCTACATTGGTCTTCCTACGTGATAGTCCACATCGACTTCAAATATTATTTGAAAGCCAAAAGCTGATTCTTCCAAGTACAAAAGGTAAGTTTTTTGAATAAATATATTGTTAATAATTGCATAAACTTTTTCATTTGCTTGATAGAACAAACTATACCACAGCCAAGTGATACCCGTTGGTCTTATGCATATGAAATTATCCAATTTATGTGCAAGCATTATACTGCTGTTATCATAACACTTTCAACCATATCGCAACAAAAAGGTACTGGATCGTCGGATGGTCGACGATATGCACTTGATCTGATAAAACCTGATGTTATTTTCCAAGTTTATCTTATACGTGATGCATTGCGTCCTTCATTAAATTTCCTGCGACAAATAGAAAAACGTGGTGCTTGTCTCGATGATTTTGCAACACATGTGGAAGCTGCTCGAAGCACAATTAAACAATCGATCGAAATGTTTGATTTTAATCAAATACAAACAATACTTCATGAGATTCGCCAGTATTTGCCGGTTATACAACCAACATTTCGATCAACACGTACTCAAAATCAAGCATCCTCTACAGACTTCAATGAAGAAGAACTTCGTATAATCGGTAACGAATTTATTGTTCATTTTCTCCAATCTTTAGATACTAGATTCAATCGTGAAGCTAAAGAATTAATCGAAAACATACAATTGTTATCATCACCATTTAAATGTTCAGCTACACAATTACTTCAAAATCCATTAATAATACAATACTGTTCTCCAACAACGTATAAACACATTGGAGTTGACAAAAAGACATATGAACGTACTGATCCACCTTTGTTAAATTTTCAAGAATTAAAAAATGATGTTTTTGCATTTCTTACTATTGTAGATGATCTTACTTCTATTGGAGTAATTACACAACATCTGGCACAATACGGTTCTGAACAATGTTCTGAATGGTACAAATTATATCAAATTTTAGCTACATTTGCTATAGGATCCAATGAAGCTGAACGCACATTTAGTACATTAAGAAGAACGAAAACATACTTACGCAATAGCTTGAATAATGAAACTCTTGAAATTTTAATTAAGTTGTCAAGTCTCAAACCTGATTTAACAGATGCTGCTGTCAAGTTTATCATCGACGATTTCATTAGTCATCCTCAGAGAGCTAAACATCGAAATGTAAGTGTATTTATGAGTAATAACAAGGAGGTAAGGTCGAATGAAGATTCTATTTAAAACATATACTTTTTGTAGATATATAATTTATATTAAAAGTTTGTTTGCTATTTTGAAATTAATAAATATTGTTTCAAAAAAAAATATCAAATCACGTTTCTAAGATATAACTATATAATGATTGCCTTTCAATTCCTCACTAAGATTTAAACATAGTACATAAGTTGAGAAAATTTTATTAATACAAAATATACAGACAAATATTCGATTCTGAGAAGCTACATTGGGCTCTGTCTATTTAACTGTCTGGGAAAAAATTTCAGCCCACCCCACTTATGAAAACAATCGAGAGCCTTGTTTCTCTCGATAGCAATTTTAGCAACAGCAGCATCTCGTTACCATCTTCTATTACGGTGACACCTCGACCGACCGTGAAAGGTAAGCGTAGTTTGGTTTGGCGATATTTCCGAACGCTTAATGAGAAATCGTTCGATGTCGAATGTATTTTATGCTCAACAGAAGTTCCTCGGAAATCGACGTCAACTTCAAATATGCTGCATCATGTGCAAACCCGTCACGAAAACGAATATCAAGTGGTGAACAAGGCGATGCGCCACAATGATTGCCATTATCTAGTAAACGATCAGCTCACTTAACTCGATTAGCTGCGAATTTAATTATCTCAATTCTGCTGCCGTTGTCTTTGGTAGAAAATCCACAATTACAATTGGTCTTTCAAGAAGCTGAACCTTCTTACATTTTATCGAAGAGAAAATCTTTTATTGGCAATGTTTTAAATCAAATGTACGATGAAACTCGAAATAGAGTTCAGAATGAACTTAACTGTGCGACCAGTAAATGTCTTGTGTTGATCCGTTGCTGAGTATAGTTCTTTCATGAATATCTTTCTAGGTGTTTGCCTGACAACAGATATTTGGACGCCTCAGTCAAATGAAGCTTACATGACTGTTACTGTTCACTTCGTCGATACATCAAACAGCAAGTTGAAGTCGTTCGTTCTGGAAACCACAGAATTCTCAGGAAATCACACAGCTCAACAAATAGTTGAAAGACTTGAAAACATATGCATCGATTGGCCGATTCTTGATAAAGTCGTCTGTCTTGTCTCAGACACGTGTAATGTTATGAGAAACCTGGGAAACGATTTTGCCAAAGTTGAGCTTGTTTTATTCACAAATCATCTTCTCGATTTATGCGTCAATGACGTGATTCGAAAAAGAGACGATGTGAAAAACGTGTTGTCGACAGTTCGACACATTGTTTTCTTTGTACGCAACAGTCATCTAGCTTATGAAACACTCAATAAATATCAACGATCGTTAGGTAATTTGTGAGGAACATCTCTTTTATCATTATAAATCTTTTTCTTCGCAGATCTAAATGAACGTCATTTGATTTACAATGTATTGGCCAGATGGAACAGCACATATTATATGCTTCAGCGATTCATCGATGACAAACTCTCAATTTCAGCTTGTCTGAATGAAAAAGCGTTCCAGAAAAATTTAACTACAGCAAAAATCTCAAGAAATAGCGATTGGGATTTACAAGAACAATTGATGGTAACGATCTAGAGAATATCTTCGTCGAAATTCTTTTCCTTCAGATGGTTCTTGAACCGTTTGAAGCCGCTACGCGAAAATTATCAGTAGAATTCTGCCCAAGTATTTCACTCGTTCTACCAGTTATCACAAGTCTCGAGAATCGGACCAGTGATTCTTTAATAATCAAACAAATCAAGAATACTTTACGGTGTTCCATCGAAGAGAAAAACGTGAATTCTTTGAGGTCAAAGTTTCGTATAACGGAAGGTAGTGAAACTTTCTTTAGGTGCTGTTAGCCACAGTGGTCGATCCTCGTTGGAAAAATTTTAGTTTCTTACAAAGCTCATCTTATCAACAGCACGTCGATACTCACACTTGCTTGACAAAAATGTCTGCGTTTGATGCTAAACTTTTGTCATACATTTATCTGCATGATGAATATGTTGCCGATCTGGCATCACATCCGAAATCATATGTTTGGGATGGTGATCAATCAACAACCTACGTCTAATAGCAATTCTGATCCAGAGTTCGTTACATATGAAAACGAGAGAGAAATCGGTTGTAACGAAAACCCACTTGAATGGTGGCGTCTAAACAGATCAAAGTATCCACGAATAACAAAAATGGCATACAAATATTTGTGCATAGCAGCGACCAGTGCGCCATCAGAACGAATGTTTTCTTCGTCTGGACATCTGACTTCTGACAAACGATCCAGACTGACGCCGAACAATGCAAATCTTTTCTTATTTTTGAACAAAAATAGCTAAACAACTCGTTCAAATGTTTGCTTCAATGTTCTTTTTTCCTTGGTTATATTGTTGTTCTCGTTAAATTAAAATATTAGTTCTTATGTTTTATAATGTTCATCGAAAAATAAATAGTGCTGTTGAAACAGATTCTTTTATCTCAAGCGAACGAGTGACAACACAACTGCAAATGCACAGCGAGAATGCTTTTTTAAATTGTTTCTGGATGATCAAAAAAAAACAATTTTTTTTACGCAAGAAACGTGTGCCGTTCGTTACGCCGTTAAGAATTGATACACTCCTCCGTTCTGCCGCTGTCTCTTACGACTATATTCGTAGGAAAGAGAAATAAGCGACTACAACCTCATCACGACTACGAAGGAAACGAAAGCGAACGTATTCCACTTCGCGCGTCCTTCGGCACATCACTATCCGTGGTTGCCCTAAACGTGTATACTGTGGATACAACGATGTGTGTCTCTTATCTACTATTACTCACCCTCAAGATACACTAACGTGATTTGTATCCTGCAACATTATATCAACAAAGAATGGTTTTCTTTATCTGTTCAAGTTATGTTCGTCATTACATAATTAATAAAAGTTTGTTTATGACAACAACAAAAAATTTACCATATCTTATCTCAAAATTCGACATGTTTTTCCTATATTTTCTAAATGTTTGGTTAAAAGGTATTACAGAACATGAGCCAAACGTGTAACAGTGAACATTATCATAGAATGACTTTAATAATGATTGTTCTTATGTTATTTCAGCTATTGATAGAAACCAGTCAAAATCCATTCTGAAAATGAACATAAAGAAAGAAAGAAATATGTGAAAGTTTTCAAGAATATCATAACACATCGATTATTGCAAATAGATGATATAATTCTTTGCGTATGGACTTCACTTCACCGTTTCTAGAAAGATACGATCATATAAATAATTTTAAATCTTCTTAAAATCGTCCAAATATGATCAAAAATATGTTTTTTTTTGTTTCAATAGCAACTGCTGTTTCAATTCATATGAATATTGCGTTCTTTTCTGTTCAATTTCCTAAGTATGCATGTTTGTTCTATTGCTTCACTTCTTTTTTGTATGCTCATCACGCGTTCAAAAAACGATCATCTACGATTTCGCTTACCACCTCCAAGTTAATAAAGAAAAAAGCATTATCTATTCATATATAGGTTGTTTCAAAACTTTCCAAATAAAGAAAGGCTACTCTATTCAGTACTTCAAAGAGAAAGAAAAAAGATCATATAGAAATTAAAACAGAGAAAAAGAAAAGATATTTAAAAAGAAGCATTCGTTAACAACAATTACTTATAGCTTCATTTTACCGTTTATACATTGTCATCACATCAAATAAGTTGAAGTCTGACTAGTTATGGATTGGAGAAGACTACTTATATTCCTTTTGGTTATTACTCCTGAACGATCACTTGCACAAAATACACGATCATTTAAAATGTTAAGTATGAATGGATGGCAATTTCAATGTGTTACAACCACTTGTCTACCTTATACTACTATTACAGCATCAAATATTTTTCGGTGCCAAGCATCATGCTTAGGACAAGTTCAATGTAAAGCCGCTAGTTTTCAACGATCAACTTCTGGCTGTCAACTGTTTGATAACACAATGAACCAAAACGATCCTATGGATGCTAACATGGATACTATCGGTATGACAGTGATTTCTGGAACAAGAACACCTCCTGGTAAGTTTGAATCCAACGCATTAGAATATATGTCGGACATTATTTTTCACACATTATAAGTTCCATCTTGTATGAAAACTCAAAACCTCATGGGAACTCCAAGGGCTTCAAGAGGCTCTGGGGTGACTCAAAGGGTTCTAAGGAGTCTAAAGAATTTTAAGAGACTTCAAGGAATTTTAAGAAACTCGAGAGTGGCTGAAAGGGCTCCAAAGAGCTCCAACGAATTTCAAACGATTCTGAAGTCTGGGATCCTGAGTGACTATAAAAAGGAGTCGAATCTAGCTTTTCCTTCTTCCTAACCACATTCAAGCTATATTCATAATAAAATTTTCCAAATTCTCCCTACTGAAAACAATGTGGAGAATAACAAAGCATTAAAAATTGTTTCTTGTTACTCACTTTTTTTTAAATGATGAACTCATACAGGCCAATGTTTTTCAATAGTTTCAGCATAAAATTCATACAAAAAAACGTTATGTTGGTTTAGAAATCATTGAAAAAGGCAAATAATCTAATGTTTTGATTTCTAATCACTCTGTATTTCATATGATGCGTTATAGCGTTTTCCCGGAAATTGTATGAGCTTTAGTTTCGAACTAATTTCCCGAAAATTGAGTCTTGCCTTCAGATATGCTAAACCAAAAGAAAATCTGCAAGTTCCCAATTTCCATGACAGACGTATAGGACACAATGGGCATATAGGGTGAATGTGCTTGAAGGGTGATGAGAGGAATATATCTCGATAAGGGTAAAGGTATGTGAAACATATAAGGTATATAGACCTTATTTAGCATAATGGACGTGTTAGGCACAATTATAATTCTAATATTTTTAATATATAATGCGTCTGATACGCCCATTATGCCCTAGCTAAGACTTTCCCTTAACATATTTGCTGAAAATAAATCTCCCGGAAATCGCTTTAACGCATCAAATCATATATATTCTAAGATTCTAGATAATATGCAGCCAAATATATATATATATATATATGTTGACGGTAAAATTGGAATTTTAAGTAGCGCGAGGAATTTTTTCGCATAAAAATGAAATCCTACGACAAAGTGGGGTTGATTTTCAGGAAAAATTCGGATTTTCCAACATATATAAAGAAGAATGTTTGTTTGTATGCTATACATTAAGTCCCTGTAATAGCTATCATCACCAAACTTTCTATGATACTCTCTTAGGCCCAGAGAAAGACCGACATGAGGTTGGTTGGGGGTACCTGAGTGAAATTTTGCCCAGGTGGTTATAGGACAGCTAACGGCACTAAAGTGCTTTATGCCACATTCATATGTATGGGGGGAAAGTCGAAGCGGAATATGAGACGGAAGGTGATAGAAATTCAATCCATTTTCTATTCACTCATTTGATTAACCCTTAAATGCCGAAGGGGATTCCCATGAGAAATTGTGAGAGTAGACCATCTAACTAGAGCTTTCGAACCCTCAATATGACTGAACTAAAATAAAGAAATGAAATTTTTTTCCTTTTAAATTTATCTTCGAGAAGTTTTTTCATGTAAATAAACTTATTTATTCTCTTTTCATACATATTAAACCAATACGAACTTATATTTTCAAAATTTTTTCCACAAAAGAAAACGAAGATCCCTATTTTATAATAAGAAACAGCACATTGATGCTAAATTTATTTGATTTTTTCCTTCTATCATGATGGCATGTGCTCACTGTACGATATCATGTGATATCATATAGAATTTCCTAACCTGTTCGTTTAGTTTCTTTCAAAGTTCTATAAACATGTTTTAATATTTAATAAAATTTTTGTCAAACATCATCAAAAAGTACGACTCGACACAATACACAATAAGCAACAGAAAAAAACGCGTTACGGCATTTAAAACTGATAGGCCAATGTTCATTTTGCTATCTTATAACATTTGATGACGTATTATAGAAAGAAAAATAGTTTGGACTGTAACGACCAAATGTCTTCTCTATAGCACACCTTCTTTATAAACGCTTTCGCCATCGCTTTAATCGTTAAAATAATACTTCGTATTGCGATAACGTTGGGAAAAACAAAGTTTCATTTCATATCGAAAAATATTTTAAAAAATTTTTATAATCAATCATATTTTCTCAATCCGCGGAAACATTCGGTTTTTACTAGCACTATTTATTACGTGTTTTGTTGCATTCAAACTAATGTCCTCTAGAGAGGACAATCGGCTTTTAAGGGTTAATCTTTACAATATGCATCTACTACTGTGTTTTCACATAGGTTTAGTTGTGCTACATAGAGTAAGCATAATTCAAAAGATGTTCATATCCAAACAATATTCATTCGGTTATCGTGGATATATGTAGGCATGCACCAAACCCAAACCGTTTGGGTTTGGTGAGTTTGGGTATTGAGTTTGGGTTTGGAGTTTGGGTTTGGGTATTGAGTTTGAGTTTGAGTTTGGGTTTGTGTATTGAGTTTGAGTTTGGGTTTGAGTTTGGATATTGAGTTTGGGTTTGGGTTTGAGTTTGAGTATTGAGTTTGAGTTTGGGTTTGGGTTTGGGTATTGAGTTTGGGTTTGGGTTTGAGTTTGAGTATTGAGTTTGGGTTTGGGTTTGGGTTTGGGTTTGGGTTTCAGTTTGGGTAGCGAAAACGCTCTTTTTCAGAAGTCTGTTTACTTGTGCATTTATAAGTCATTATTTTATGGTATTTTTGTTT